CCGACGAGAGACTGTGCCAAGCTGCCCTGCCCTACCTATTTATGGTTAACATTCATACCAGAAAATATGCTACCTATCCTACCCGGAAACCTACATTTGGAATTTAAAAAATAGTAAAACAAGCACACCAACACATTCACTCCACGGTTCTCATACATAACTCGGGCGCAAAGGCCTACACTAGAGAGATGTACCGGGACGCCTCCGACACCCGAGTTTCTTTTTCTTTTTTTTTTTTTTATTTTATTTGTTGAAATTACAATCAATTCTCGCGTTGAGAATTTTCAGTATTTTTTCTGGCGTGGCGCAGTGACATGGCTGTTTATTTACAATAAATTATACTTATTATAGATAGGTATAATTTATTAGTGTTATAGGTAAGTGCATATGCTTAATTTGGATAATTAAGTGAATCTAACGTTGAGGTCTAACGGGTAGTGCCTCTTCAGCCTGCGAATCTGGTCCATCGTATCGAGTAGTCCAGTGATTAGGGGGTTTCGGTGTTTGTTGACTCTTTTGCTATATCTGTCGCTATATTTCGCTATTTCCTCTTTGACTGTTGGTATCTTGAGGTCGCGATGGATGGTTTCGTTGGTAACATACCAGGGTGCGTCTATTAAGGCTCTTAGCGTTTTCGATTGGAATCTTTGTAGTATTTCGATGCTGAAGTTACTAGCTGTTCCCCATAGTTGGATTCCGTAGGTCCAGACAGGTTTTATTACGGTCTTGTAAAGGGTAATTTTATTCTGTATGTTTAGTTTAGCGGCTCAAACAGGTGAAGGCGGAATTCGAAATGATGATAGAGCAAGGAGTGATTAGACCATCGAAGAGTCTATGGGCATCACCCTTGCACGTCGTCCCCAAAAAGGACGGTATTTGCCGCCACATATCGAAGATTTCGCGCAGCAACTACATGGTAAACGAATCTTCTCAAAAATCGATCTCGTCCACGCATATCATCAAATTCCGATAGCACCCGAGGACATCGAAAGGACAGCGATTACGACCCCGTTTGGTTTGTTCGAAGCAGTCAATACCATGTTCGGACTGCGAAACGCCGCACAAACTTGCCAAAGGTTCGTCGATGAAATCATATGCGGTTTAGATTTCGTTTACGCGTACATCGACGACTTTCTTATAGCTTCAAAAAACGAAGAACAACACCGCGAATACTTGCGAACCTTGTTTAAACGCTTAGACAAGTACGGTGTTGTAATAAATCCCGCGAAATGCGAATTCGGCGTGCACGAAATCAAATTCCTAAGATACACCGTAACCGCCGACGGGATAAAACCGCTATCCAAATGCGTTGATGCCATCGTCGAAGTACCGCAACCCGCAACCGTTAAAGACTTGCGAAGGTACCTCGGTAAGATTAACTTCTACCGACGTTTCATACCAAAGGCCGCAAAAATTCTCCAACCATTCAATGACTTGCTGAAAGGTGCAAAAAAAGTGCAACGTGCCCATTGAGTGGTCGGAACAAGCCGAAAACAGTTTCCGAGAGTCGAAACGCGCCCTTGCTGACGCCACGATGTTACACCCGATTCCCAACGCGCCTGACAATCTCGCGGTAGACGCATCTGATCACGCGATCGGAGGCCCTGTACAGCCACCCTACGACGGGCCGTACAAGGTAATACAACGTGGAGATAAGAATTACACTATCAAAATAAAAGATAGAAGTGTAGTAGTCTCCATAGACTGACTGAAACCCGCGTTTGTAATAGACAATAACATAGAACACCAGTGTCGAAAATCGTGACGTACATAATAATACCGCTTGAATATAAATACCGTACAAGCAATCTTATAGCGATTAATATCGAGCGAACGTACGCATTACCTTGTATACGCATATCGAGCAACACTGAGCGAACGACAACTAACTCTGTACTGCAAATAGTTTTAAATACATTTGACTACACTAAGTATCAACTCGTCTCATCACTATATACACCAACACGTTTAATCGTCCTCCACATATAATATAGCGTAATACTATATAACGTAATACATTATAACGTAATAAGACATAACGCAATATATTATAACGTAATACTATGAAACGTAATATAATATAATATAACGTAATACAATATGACGTAATGTAATATAAGGTAATACAATATAACTGAGATGTAGAATGTGAAAGCTATCAACTGAAAACGCGGCGGTTCGTTCAACAGTTTGTTTACTTTCTTGACTAGCGACTTTTTCAGAACTCTCGACTCGCGACTCTTACTAATGACTGGTTACGGACAACTGCTGTGTTGATCCACTTGCTTCCCTTTGTCACCTTTCGATATCCCCACTATACATCCGTGTTCATATCCGTCTGCGATTACGGTAACGTACGCCTTCTGCCCAGTATTTGAAGTTAGGGCAAAACGTAACACAATATAACGTAATACATTATAACGTATTATAATATAACGTAATCCCATATAACATAATACATTATAACATGATACTATATAGCGTAATACATTACAACTTAACACATTATAACGTAATAGATTATAACGTAATATAATATAACGTAATATAAAATAACGTAATATAGTATAACGTAGTAGTATATAACGTAATACATTGTGACGTAATCCATCATATTTTAATATTATATAACATAATACTATATATCGCAATACATTATAACATACTAATATACAACGTAATACTATATAACGTAATACATAATAACGTAATACCATAATACGTAATAACGTATAGTATTACGTAATACATTATTACGTAATACTATATAACGTAATATAATATAATAAAGTATAATATAAAGTAATTCTATATAACATAATATAATGTAACGTAATACAGTATAACGTAGTACAATATAACGTAATACTACGTAACGTAATTCAGTATAACGTGCTATAATATAACGTAATACTATATTATTTTGTCAAATAAAACGAATAAGATATTTCTTAACAACGACCAATATTCTTTAATTGTTATTATTTAATTATGAGAATATTATATAAACTATTCTTCCTCAGTTTGCTTTTTTACAAATTTAGTTTCATTCTGTTTAGCTAATGTTTCATAATTACGTGAAAATGTAACTGTAACAATGATATTTTGTAATATTTTTCTTGTATTCAGACAATTTTACATTTCAGAGATATAAATTATTCAGTTTACAAAAATCTGTATAATTTAAACATATTGGCAAGAAAGTATTAACTTGTATATACTGTATATATGTTATATATTGTACATTAAATATGAAATTATATCTCATCAACATTTTGATTACTCCATCTGTTACAGCCTATAAAAATAACCAGTTACACAAAACACACACCATATTTTATATATATCTAAAATTATGAATATGATAATATGTAATTTTAGTAGAAGTATCTTTGTAATTAATTTATTCTAAAAAAAAAGCAAAAATATTAATTTATTGAGTTAAATAAATAGAAATTATCTAGAATATGGTGGCAGAACATAATTTTGCGAATTCTATCACAAAAGAAATGTCAATAATTAATACTTGCATTACATTATCAAAAAAGAACTGTATAATTGTTTATTTAATAATATAATTAATTCTATAATTGTTTATTTTCCAACATGATTATATGTATATAAATGTGTAGTGCACTAAGATGTATATATTGAATTGTCAAATTAGACATAAAATAAATTTTATGAGAAAACAATTTTTACAAAATAGACATTATAATATATGTATATATATGTCTGTGTCCGTTTTTCACATATTATGTATAATTATAGTTTTATATAGTCACATGTTAAAATAATATAACATAGATTTACTATAATTCATGTCCTCAATATGATATTAATTTTTATTTACAAAAAAATATTTTAAAACAGAAACGAACACATAACAAATTTAGATTTTTTATAGATGAAAAAGTCTATTTGTCAATTAGGATATTACAACGTTGTACGTTCATTACATACATACATCACTTATTGACAAAAAGATATGTCCTATAGCTATACAAATATAATGATAAGTTATATGTTACTGTTTCGCGTTTTTCTTTCTTTTTCCTAATAGCTATTACTCATTTTGTCTTATGCCACAGTTAATAAGTATAAAACTTCATACATAAATTCTATCCATGCTGCATTTACTTACACTATTTATACAAATGCAGATTTTACTGCACTTTATCATTTGATACATATTCTATATATCTGTTACATTGTACAGATATAAATACATCTCTGCTTAATTCGTGTTGTATTGAAAAATGCAAATCACATAAATAATATTTTTTTGAATAAAATTTATTTGACTAATTTATTTCTGTCTTAAGAATGTATGTATGTATATGCAAGTGTTTATGTTCTTAACTTATATCTTGAAAGTCAGAAATTTATTTTCTTTTAAGAGATTGACATGATAAAATGTAAAATGTACCATCCAATAAAAAATGGTTGTATTAAAAATATTATATTAGATTATATAAATTTTTCATATCATATTTAAACTGACATGTTTATATCTTATGATAAAAATATGATAAAGCAGATGTTTATTAATTCGTAGCAACTTATACAAATTGTGGTGCACTATCTATTATTCTATAACAAGATCTTGTAATATTTTGACATAATTATATAATATAATATTTACAGAATAAGTTTATGATGTTTTAAAATTAGAGCACATACAGATCGCTTCTTATATATTGTTTCATAAATTAAGATATAAGTACTGATATATTAACTTGTTTGGCTTTAATTAAATATGAACAGTACGAATATATATATATGTATGTATTTTGGCTCTTCATATATATGTGACATTATCACAAACTGTGTCATTAAAAACAAAAAATAACTTCTGTATGTAAAACGCGTGATCTACAAACATTTGCATTTTTATTTCGAAAACTTTAATTTATATAATATTCACTATAATACTCTATTATTACGATATTTAAAAGATAATTTTGACAAAGAAGCACATTCGTTATTTTCTTTCATCATTAACAAAATCATTAATTTATGACAAAATTCATACAAATGCTATGGCTACATTTATACTATGAACATGAACTTTCTTTACATTGAGATATTTTGTTCCTTAAATAAGATAAGAAATAGTTCTAGTTCAATGTCTGTGTACTTCAATGACATATAATCATTCGTTTATACAAGCTATGTACAAAAATGTCTAATCGAGATTTATACACATTTTAAATTTGTTGTAAATCTTTCTTCTAAAACGAGAATGCAGTGGAATGTAATTATTAAAGAATAGAATTTTCTTTCATGTTTGTCAAATAAAATTGATATGGAAATTTGAATGTATTCTTTCGGTCTTCCTCTCTCTTAATATACATGTCTCAAGATTTAGAAAAACTTAAAAAACATAAATTTTTATAGTGCCACTGCATTCTGAACATTGTTTGCTTTTGTAACAAATTAAATTTTAACTTAACAACAAGAGGATTTTGCAGGTTCTGCTTCGACTAGATTAAAATCTAAACCACCAGGCCTAGCAAATCCAGTTTTTATTCCATCCCAACCATCTTCTACCTTATATTCACCAGTCTGTATTCTATTATAAACTTCCTGTGTAACTGTTCGAAATGCTTCTTCAACATTAACTCCAGTCTTTGCGCTTGTTTCAATGTGATGTACTCCATGTTGATCAGCAAAAGCTCTTGCTTCTTCTTTTGAAACTTCTCGCCTACTTCCATTGGTAACTAAATCTAATTTACAACCTACCAATGCAAATACAGGGCGATGTGGCTCAATATGTCTACGAGCTTCCATCATCCACTGAGGAATATGTTCAAAACTTGCTCTATTACAGACATCATACACAAGCAGGGCACCAACAGAGTTTCTATAGTATGATTTTGTAATTGACCTAAGATAAACAATACATTTCATTATTTTACTTGTATCAATGACATATTATATCTTGTTTTTAATATATTCGTAATTACTAAAAACATATAATACAAATATAACACACCTAAATCTTTCTTGGCCAGCTGTATCCCATAACTGTAATTTTATTCTTGTTCCATCCTTTACTTCAATTAATCTAGCAAAAAAATCTACTCCTACTGTTGGATCTGAAAGCTAATCAAATAAAATACGTTATATACTTCCTATAATAATATCAGATATAAACTCATTGTATTGTAAAAGAATTATAATTTTTGATTTACTAAAAAATATACTCTATATATAAGTCAATGACAGATTCAAGATAAAAGATAAAAATGTATCTCAATCAAAGATACCGTTTTGTTTATTATTGTTCATTAACCTACTAATTGTACAATGTATATAATAATTATAATTGGACATTAAAACTAATTCATTTGCGTGACAAAAATTCTTCAAACATATTTAATATCATAGCATTTTTATGCTGTCCTGAATTCTTTATTTAAAAAATAGTAATCAACTACATAAATATTATTAGATCAGCAAAATTGGAAATACTCCAACGACATAAAATCTATTTCAACTTCGATTTCAACATCAATTACAGTATAACTTATTTGATATTATGAAAAATGACAAAAGAACAAAACATGACAGATTTGATTAAAATCAACATTTTTATCAACATTGTTGACAATAACGGTTAGAGTCGCTGCGTACCTCTGCGAACTTCCCATCAGTAAAATATTTCAGCAACGAACTTTTTCCGACTGTACTGTCACCGATAAGTATCAGGCGAAATTGATAGTCAAAAATTGGTTCCACCATCTTGACGTATGTATATATTACGATTAAAGTTCTTCACAAGCAATACTCCAGTTGTCACTTATAAAGTCATGATTTTCTTGTATGCACTTGTCAAGAGTGAGAACCTCGCTGACCGTGACATTAATCATCAACTTCCTACCTTTGCCCAAGACTGTACTGCACTTATTGCGCACGACACTGTGCAAATAAACACGTAGATCTCATAAGGATCTTTGAAACCAAGCACATCGTAATTTTCAACGAACTAGCTGTTTTTAGCAGTTCTAAATTTCACTGCTTCTTTCTTCTTTAATTCTTTGAGACACTCACAGAACCACGCGGTCATAGTAGCCACCTAAAATACACATTTCACGGGTTTAACTAGAAAGCTAGAAAGACATAATAATTTAATTTATAAATATTGCTTACACATATTTATAGTTTACTTAATACAAATCTGTATACAATCAATGAACACCAAAAAAATTAAAAGAAAATATTGACTTCTTTTCTCTACTAGTTAAGTAAAATGGACAAAAGAATATTATTCTAAACTCTAAAAGTAAATATTCGAAAATATTCTCTATTTTTGTTACACTACTTGAAACGAGAAATTCTTCATTTTATCTATCACATTGAAAGGATTAAAGGTTAATTAAGAGATTAGTCGAGCATTTTTGCGTATACTAAATATGTAAAGCATAGTGCCATTTGCATCTTAAACGTAGAACAGGGCACAGAATGTGTAATATATATCTATTCAAGTAGATGCGTGTATACTGATTGTAAAGTAATAAAAAAAGTGATAGTATTCGAAATTAATAATAAAATAATAAAGATTAGAATAATAATCTTCACTCGTGTTTGTTTAAGTTTTATCTATAACGAGTTGTTTCTTAAGTAGGATTTGCTACTTATGTAATAACAACCTTCTAACCAGTAATTTTGTGAATAAGTTTTAGTACGTATAACCTAACTACGTGATTTTCTGTAATAAAAAATTTTGAATTTAATTTTACTCTTAACCTTTTATAATAGAACAGTAAATCATTTTTAAATTTTTTTCTAGAAAAATGAACGAAAAGAAATTGATTGATGAAATTGTTGAATTGCGTGAGTTGTTACGCACGAAGGAAACTCAACTAGCTGCCTTAAGGCGCGAAAAACAAATCTTACAAGATTACGGTTTGAATAACGAAGAAATATTACGATATAGTAGGCAAATATTTTTGCCTGAAATTGCTATTAAAGGTGTATTCTATTTACAAAATTTTAAAATGTATTATATATATTAAATTAAAATCATATGAATTTCATATAACAAAAATCTGTTATTCTTTAGTATTTAATATTTTCTCTTCTATATGTATTCTTAATTTGATATATAAATAATAATAAAGTCTTTATTTTCAATTCTAACATTTTTCATTATATAATTACAGGTCAAGTAAAATTAAAGAATAGCGCAATATTGATCGTAGGGGCAGGTGGACTTGGATGCCCAGCTGCATTATATTTAGCATCTGCTGGTGTTGGACAAATTGGTATAATTGATTATGATGATGTAGAGATTAACAATCTTCATAGACAATTATTATATGCAGAAACAAGTATTGGAACACCAAAAGTAAATACTGCTGCAGAAAGTCTTAATCGGTATTTGTATATCAATATAATATGCATAGATTTTTATAAGTATATGTATTAAATGTTTATTTGATGGTAAAATTCATGATATAAAATATCCCTACTTTTATAATCTAAACTAAATATTCCTAATTTTAGCTTAAACAGTGACATTAAAGTTACTCCATATAAAATTCAACTAGATAGCAGTAATGCTCTGGACATAATAAAATCTTACGATGTAGTGGTAGATGCTACTGATAATGTAGCTACACGTTATTTATTGAATGATGCGTGTGTTCTAAGTAATAAACCTTTAGTATCTGGATCAGCATTAAAATTTGAAGGTCATTTATCTGTATTTAATTACAATGGACCTTGCTACAGATGTATATTTCCTAAACCTCCTCCTCCAGAAACAGTAACAAATTGTGGAGATGGTGGTGTTTTTGGCCCAGGTATTATTTTTTAATTAATTTAATTAATTTATTCAGTATTTTTAATTCGAAAAATATTTATTACTTAATTTAACTGCAGCTGTTGGTACTATTGGCGTCTTACAAGCATTAGAAGCGCTGAAGATAGTACTCGATCTTCCGCATGTACTATCCGGTCAACTTCTATTATTTGATGGACTAGAAACGAAGTTTCGTAAGATCAACCTGCGTGCTAAAAATATAAACTGTGCCGTTTGTGGCGAACATCCACCTCTGCACAAATTAATTGATTATGAACAATTTTGTGGTGCAAAAGCAAATGATAAAGATCCGAAATTAAATTTATTAAGAACGGAAGAAAGAATAAGCGTGGAAGAATATAACACAACATTGAAATTAGGCACAAAAGCTCATATTTTAATTGACGTACGTTCAGCCGAAGAATTTGACATCTGTCATTTAAAGAACTCTATAAATATACCATTATGTGATATTAATAACAACGAAACAGTAACATTAATAAGAAGTAGAATACAGGAAATACAAAAACAACATGATAATGCTAGTTGTAAGTATATTTTGCTTAATATGTTATGTTGAAGTTGTAAATATATAATAAATATGTGTGCATTTGTTCTAGTATATGTTATGTGCAGAAGAGGGAATGATTCGCAAAAGGCTGTAAAAAGTCTTCAGGAAATATTTCAAGGAAGTAATCTAGAAATAAAAGATGTAATTGGTGGCATTCATGCTTGGAGCAAGAAAATTGATTGTACATTTCCTATATATTAATTGTATAAAATTGTATGTAATTGATTACTTTCATGTTTATTGATTTTTACTACTAAAATTAATATGTGTATAATTACATAATGTACGACATTACATTTTTATAAATACATATACGTGAATAACACGTACATTTATAAAAATATATAGTTATATAAAGTGAATTAATTCATTTAGAATACTCTTCTATCTCAGAACTAGTTAAACTGGTTTCTGGATACTTGTAATGGGAATCTGATAAATTTCGTAATTTCTCTGCTGCTTGTTCTGGCGTTAAGTCTCTTTGTGCTTGTGCAAGAAGTTCATAGCCAACCATATGTTTCTTTACAGTTGCTGAACGTAATAGTGGAGGTAAATAAATTCCGTGGAAAGTCCAATAAGGATAATCTTGTTTTACATATGGTCCAGTTGGGGCTCCTTCAAACAGAATCAATTAAATATCGTGATTAGTTACATGACCTTTTTTAATGAACATATCCAATAATATTTAACCATACCATGCCAACCCATAGAATAAGGGAAAGAGCAATGGAATAAGTTATCATATTTTGTACACAGTATTTTCATAGTAGCTGCTAATGATTCTTGTTGACTTTCTGATAAATCTTGCATTCTAGATACTTGTTTCTTAGGCAATACCATAGTTTCATATGGCCATACTGCCCAAAATGGTACTAAAACTACCCAATCTCGGTTTTCTGATACAATGCGCTCCTACAACATAAAATATACAAATTAAAAAATCTGAAGATCTAAATCTAAATTCTCTTAATATGGTACTTTACTTTTTTGAAAAGTTCTTTTTGTACATAATCTATAAGAAGTGGTTTTTTATTACGATTATAATAATCGCTGAGGTATCTATCCTTTATTTTAGCTTCATTTGGTAAGAAAGAGCTAGCCCAAATTTGACAGTGAGGATGAGAATTGCTACAGCCCATTACAGCACCACGATTTTCAAAAATTTGTACCCAAGTCCATTTCTCTCCCAACTCAAGCATTTCAAAAATCCAGCTAAATCATAACGACATTTATTACATAAAATATTACAATACTACAAACTAAATGTATTACCAACATACCGTTTAACCACTTCTTTAATTTCTGAAATTTTCATAAGTGCTATTGTTACATTTGATTTGGGATGGAAACACATCACTTTACAAGTACCTCTGGCAGCATCCATTTGGAATAATTCATCTTCAGATTTTGATGGATTAGGAACTGATTCCAATAATGCAGGAAAGTCATTGACAAATGAATATGTATTTTCATATATTGGAGTTACCTGGAAAACAAAAACATTTAGTATCAGAAAAGTTGTGCAATTCTGGTTTTAAAGTTAAAGGATAGTTATTTAAATGCATTACCTGTCCACTAGCTCTGACGTTGCCCGGACAAAGTGGATTATCAGGGTCATAATCTGGAAGATCTTCTTCTATATTTGTTTCAATTTGTCCCCCCCAGGGTCGTTTCATTCGATGTGGTGACACTAGTACCCATTCTCCCTTTAAGGGATTATATCGAATATGTTGATGTTCTATAAAATATTGATCTAATAGATGATACATAGAACTTGAATTTGATATAATTTCTTCATAAGAACAAAAATTCTAACCAGTAGGATCAAATTGTGTTTTTAAAGCTTCTGTGCCATTTTTCAGGCTGTTCTTATCACCTGAAAATTAGTATTAAGTCTTCATGTATATACACAAAAAATTTGGATAAGATTATGTATATGTTACATTAATATATTAAACTAATTTTTACAGCAAATTAATTTGTTTGACAAAATTACAATTAGTTTACTGAATTAAAGTATATTATTCAATATGAACATTTAAAAATATCATATAAAAGTATTTTGCTTCATTACTATATACATATACACGCATTACTTACACTTTTGGAATGCTACGAATAGTAATACAAATTTTAATCGTCATGTGGATTTCGTTTTAATCAGAACTATAAATAATGCACAATAGACTCACGCGGGTTTTGTTTTGATTTCAATCATACAGAATGTACAATAAACTGTAAAAATTATTATTAGTTTCACATGCCACTACACATTTATAATATAAAAAAAATAAAACAAAATTTGTGGAAGGTCATATGACCGACGCTTATGTTCTAAAATTTATTTACTTGAAAAAAACCTTACGCGATTAATAATGTGTACTTTTTATAAATAATACAACGACTACCTTTATCTTTTACAGATATTTGTTGTACTAAGTGATTAATTTTTCATTTAATATAAAATATTTTTACCTGTTGATGCAGACATTTGTACTTTGGTATCTACTTTTGGTATCGCAAGTGTCGCTTAAGTGCTACTAGCGTACTGGAAAATTTTTAATGACAGCAGTAATTTAAGATATACGTGTCATTGTTTTCATAGACAAGATATTCGTGTAACTATACCAAGTACAGTAATTTATGATAACATTTACATTGCTTACGAAATCTAATGTTCAATGTGTACACATATCGATGTGTATCACGTATTACTACGTATTAGATGGTTGGTGTAAAATCAGATTCGATCTCGATCAGAACAAGCTTAAGATGTTAAAAGATATCGCAAGCGTTATTTATAGGAAAACGAATAAACAAATATATGTATGTGCATTGCCAATAAAGAAAATACGGTTTAAATTGCTTCATTTTTTGACATAGGAATGCTAATATGTTGTGTAGTTAATTATACTAAAAAATCTGCTACTATGTATATTTCTCAAAAGAGAAATATTCGTAATAAAATATATTACTTTTGAAATCAAATTTTAAAATTTATATCTTTTTAAATTCTAACTGTTAATACTAAACAATTATCTTTTTTAATTATAATTTAATCTTTAAATAAAATTCAGATTTTTATACAGAATAATAAAGAGCATAATTTTGTATTAAAAAATATATTAAAATTGTAAGGATAAGTA